CCCCCACTCCCTCCCCCCGCTGCCCGGGGCACACCCGCGCTCCGGCCACCCTGCACGGTTTGTTTTTTTCGCTTGGGGCGGCAAAAAAGCCAGAGCCGGCCCTTGGGGAGGCACAGCTCATTCAGCGGTTTGAGGCTTGCAGACAGCTATCTAACACACAGAGCCAAGCTGTTCTCTTTCCCCTTAGGGCTACCATCCCTTTCACTTCTCCAATGCCAAATTACAGTCTACATTTCATTTCAGTGCCATAGGGAGATTCATGTCAGGGGAGGGGAGCTTCATTTCAAATTAGCCACTTTAGATTAACAGTGATAGAGCCAAGAGAGCCACGGGGGAGAGCAATATCCTACACCACCTACCTCCTTCCCAACCCTACCAAGGGAGACCCCCCCCCTGCATTCCCCGAGGCTCCAGAGGGGTTAATTCAGTGGTTCTCAAACTTTTGTACTGGTGATCCCTTTCACACAGCAAACCTCTGAGTGCGACCCCCCCCCTTATAAATTAAAAACACTTTTTTATATATTTAACACTATTATAAATGCTGGAGGCAAAGCGGGGTTTGAGGTGGAGGCTGACAGCTCGCGACCCCCAGTAATAACCTCGTGACCCCCTGAGGGGTCCCGACCCCCAGTTTGAAACCCCCTGGGTTAATTTAATTTTAGCATCCTGTGTCCATTCACATGCATGTGCTATTTTGAGCATTTCCATTTTCACAGCATAGGCTCATCCCAGATTCTGGAACAAGCTCAAATGCTCGGTTTGTGGAGTATGTACGTAAGCTATACTAAAGACAAACCCACAGTAACTGTCTCCAGTTTGTGAGGGACCCCATGGAACCAGTCTCTAGTACATTCATGGTGGTTAGGTCCCTTAATGGCTATTAGCCAGGACGGGTAAGGAATGGTGTCCCTAGCCTCTGTTTGTCAGAGGGTGGAGATGGACGGCAGGAGAGAGATCACTTGATCATTACCTGTTAGGTTCACTCCCTCTGGGGCACCTGGCATTGGCCACTGTCAGTAGACAGGACACTGGGCTAGATGGACCTTTGGTCTGACCCGGTATGGCCGTTCTTATGTTCTTATGTTCTAACCTAAATGAACCCGACTTTATGGAGACAGATATGAGTCAAGGAAGCCAGCAGAGTATCAGATACCTGGAAAAATCTCTGACTGGATGGGCTCAGGCGTTTGGTCACAAGCTGAGGTGGTTCAAAAGTTTTGGATTTTTTTTAAGCAGAATTTTTGTATTGTTTCTTTAAACAATCAAACACAGCAAGCAGCAAATATTTGGCCCCACACTTCTGAAACCCCAAACCACGTTCAGGTTTTGGCAGACTAATTTCAGCGTTTCAATTAAAAAAACCACAACACATTTTGAAGGAAAGCAGACATCGTCCGTGATTTTTTCTGCTTTTTAAAAACCCCTCGTTTTCGATCCAAAAAAAGTTTTGACGGAAAGTATTTGTCCAACCCTTTTACTGAGCTTTAGTGGCTTTTAGCACTAGCTGATGCTGAGAACCAGTGATACCTTGTAAAGGTGACTTGAAAAGAAGTTTTCTCAAAAACTGGGTTTGTGCCGAGATGCGGAAGGTTTTTAAATGTTTATTTTTCCCAGGGCCGCCCGGAGGGGGGGGGGGGAGGCGAAGTGGGGCGAATTTGCCCTGGGGTCGCAGGGGCCCCCACGAGAATATAGTATTCTGTGGTATTGCAACTTTTTTTTTTGAAAGGAGCCTCCACAATTGGTTCGCCCCAGGCCCCCTGAATCCTCTGGGCAGGCCTGCGCCTGGGGCCCATGCCTCGTACCGGTGTCGGGGAGTGCTGGGGTGGGGAGCGCCCCTACCCGGACACCTGGGTCCCATTCCCCATCCCGGTGTCGGGGAGTGCTGGGGTGGGGAGCGCCCCTACCCGGACACCTGGGTCCCATTCCCCGTCCGGGTCTCACCCCCTCTTTTCCTCCCCCCAGGGACGGCCCAGGTTTCCAACGCCAGCTCGTTTCAGCTGGAGCTGTCGCAAGGTGGATTCAGCGCCCTGCTCACCCCGGTGGGTAGAAACCCCCCCCCCCGTGCACCCTGGGGGGCCGGCCCGGTCCATGGGCTCGAGCTTCAGCTGGGGGGTGGGGCAGAGAGTCCGCCCCCCCGGGGCTGTGGTCGGACCATGTGTAATACACGGTCCCACCACAAGGTGGAGCCAGCCACCCTGCTAGGAACATGGCAATTATTGCTGGGCTCATTACCATTAATTAGTCTGTTACCCCTCATATTTCTCACAATTTTAATTGATTATAATTATTCCTAATTCAGAATGGACTTTAACAAAGCACCGTCCGTGTTATAATTGTCCTAACTGATCGTAACATTTCCTGAGTAATATTAATATCCCAGCTCGCTCGGACGGTGAATACACTGATGTAATGTCCCGGCCCCGGGGTTAGGAGTTTTCCCATTAGTAGATCTGGGTTTCTCATGCCTGGGAAGAGTTTTCTCACTGGCTCACGGATCCCGTCCTCGCTAACCTGGGCTGAGCCATCTTCTCCTTCACAGCAACTGCCTCTCAGGGACATTAGTAGCTTGGTATTAGGAGGATAAACATTAACAGAGAGCGATATATACTGCCAAGAGACTTCTTCATATCACGGGGAGTTACTATTAATAAGAACTTTGACTATTCATAAGGATAACAGTAACATTATCTATCTATCTATCCCCATCCACCCCCTCTATCTATCTATCTATCTATCTATCTATCTATCTATCTATCTATCTATCTATCTATCTATCTATCTATCTATCTATCCCATCCACCCCTCTATCTATCTATCTATCTATCTATCCCCATCCACCCCTCTATCTATCTATCTATCTATCTATCTCCACACACACTATCTATCTATCTATCTAACCCTGCACACCCCATCTATCTATCTATCCCCATCCACCCCTCTATCTATCTATCTATCTATCTATCTATCTATCTATCTATCTATCTATCTATCTATCTATCCCAC